CTTTCTATAAAGGACATCTAAAAATCAAACAGCTCATGCAGCCATAACATTCAAACAGAAATAGCTTAGGACATGCCTTGATTTGAAAAATGGAACAAAACTAGCCAACCAAAACCCACCACCAAAACCAACAACCAACCAACCCCCCCAACAACAACCACCACCCCACAACCAAAACCACAAATTGCTCACACCCAGTGCCACTTGGACCATGAACGGCAGAGGATGTTTTCTGTGTTATAAACTTCCCACCGCTTTTCCAATATGCCTTGTTACAGGAAGTCATGTGTAAGGGACTAATATAATGAACATTGTCAATGATAAGCTGAAAGCTGTGACATCTTATGTTACATCAAAAGGACTTTTCCCAGCCTTGCCTATTACAAAAATTCTAGCCCTACAGCCATTAAAACCTGTGAACAGCATATTAGGCCATCAACCCCCCACAACACCAGCAACAGCATTCACTCCCAAGACTGGTGCGAACTGACCTCTGCTACAGAGGTGGGTTAATGAAGTACCTCTGCAGTTCCCAACTCTTCAGGTTTCCCACGAAATCAGGAGAAAGTATTTCCAGTGAGTCTGCAGTCCAACACATACAAAGCAACCATGATCTTTTTCTCACAAAACAACTGAGGAGTATTGTTTTCTAAAGAAGCGCTTTTACAGGAGTTTATATTCTAATTTTGGGTACGCATCCAAAGAAAGGAATAGGAACTTGCAGATATTTTCAAAGAAAATAATAAATAAATTATAACAGTAACAATTAAACTCCATGTTTGTTACACAGTCTGGTTTTAAGCTAAAGTCTTTCCTTTCAAATCAGGACTGAAGCAGTCTGTTTAACCCTGGATACTTAGGCTAGGACTACTAACAAAAATCTAGCTACATTGTTAGCTTTAAAAATGAAAGTACCTTGTCAGCTTTATTCTCCAGGGGCAAACGAACTGTCAATAAGCCCTCATCTGCAGGCTTGTAGTCATTAATAACTCACTCTGCAATTAAGACTAAGAAAAAGGACTATATTCCACAAGTGCTCCAGGGTTATTTAGGAAATTAAGTTACCCATTATACCATACTAGCACTTTTGCAAATGTTTTATGATTTTCCATAAAATAAATTCACCAGGCCTTCAGAAGATGAGTTAGTCCTCTTGCTGTAGTTAAAGAGCAAGTCCATTACTAATAGACTAAATATTACTTGCTAATAATAAAAGTTTCAGCCAGAAAGTAAATACTTCTTAAATATCTCAGCAACTGCATTTTGGGACAAGTTTTGCATTTCCAATAGTAAAGGCAGAGAAACAGAAGGATAGGTCCGTTACTACATAAAATGCAGATGGTAACTTCACAGACAAGGAGACGGCATACAAAACCAAAACTGTCTGCAAATCTGCAGCTTCAATACTTAGGACTTGACTGGGAAGAGAGAAATCAAACCACTGCCACTAACAATTAGTTTCGCAGAACACAGTGGTTTGAATTTGAAAAGTGAGAGTTTAAGTGTTTTGCCTCATAGGATTCATTACGAATAAGTAATGCTATTCAAAACAATCTATACAACAGATGGCTAATGCCTTGCAACAAGGAATTAGATAGCAGGGAGATTTTTGTTCACAGTGAGAGCAGTCAAACATTGGAAGAGGTTGCCTAGCACGGCTGTGGAATCTCCATCCTTGGAAACATCCGAAATGTGGCCAGATAAGGCTCTGAGTAACCGAATCAAACTTTGTAAATTGGTTCCAGCTTTGAAGCCAGCCTGGCTCTGAACAGGAGGGGCTGGATCTGATGGAGTCTGGCGGTTCCTTCCAACCTAAATGATTCTGTTCTGTCATTTTCTGCTGCTCCCTCCATCTTTCTCTCCAAGTATCATTTAATTCTTACAATACCTTTGAAGCTTTCCCAGTATTTAAACAGATGAATTCCAAGAATATTAACAGTACCTTGTTTGGATTAGAATGAGAGAAATCATAACATTAGATTTTTAGATTTAGATCATTAATTTTGTTGTTGTTGTTTTCATGATCTTTAGACATTTGCTTAACAGTAACATCTGTTTACACGACAACAGTAACAATAACATCTCCAGTGAGAGTGATCTAGTACAACACCACACATTCGAAATGTGAAGCTAACTTTTCTAGAGACATTACGAATTTTCTGTGTGATAAATTATGGCATTTTTCCCCAGCAATTATCTTTTAATTTTAACAGTTTTGTATTACTCTGATTTTGTACAATTACTAAATCAACAGAACTACCAAATCAAGTATGAAAACATGAAAAATCCACCCAAAAATTACATCTACCACTACCATTTTTATTAAATTACACTATAGACTGTTACAAGTAATTCTGAATTTCAAAGTTACAGAAGACCATTTTCCAAGGTTTGCTGTTGGTTTCTAATAGTTAAGACTCAGACTTTTCATAACAGCATCACAGTTCAAACATCAGTTCTTTGTAATTAGATACCACAACACAAATTCTACCATTTCACAGCATGCGTACACAACATTTACAAACGTTAGAATTGATAGTAACCTCCTGTCTTAAGACCAATGTACTACAGCAGTTTAGAAAGACTCAAGATCTTCAAGATGTAAACAGCATTAATACACCTGGCTAACATGAGCCACATGTGCAAGCACGATGCTTGAGCATCTAATGTAACTTCTTCGTTGGCCCTGGGCTCAGGGGTGGGGGGCTGGAACCAGCTAACCTTACAAACTGGATGTTCTTCATGATCCTGCTGGGTGGGCGGGAGTGCAGACAGACAGGCACCTATATCCTTTGATAGCACCTTACTGCTCGCCATCAGAACGCAGCCCAAAACATTTCTCAGGTATTGATTAAGCAAGTCTGCAAATTTAACATCGCCTATCATTTGTTTGCACTAACCTAACCTATAGTATGGTGAAATTTAACAGACTGAAACACAGGAAAACCACAGAACTAGAATTTAGTCTCCAATCCTATAGTATAATTGACACAGGCAGGCACTTTTGCCTGCATGGATCCTTTTGCAGAACTCATAACTAACATGACTTCACCTTTTTTTTATCTTTTTTTTTCCCCCCTCCCTCCTTCCAGTTCATTTTGTATTCAAGTCAAAGCCAAGTTTTAATAATTAACTTTTGGACATGACTGATGCTGATGACCTTTCGTTTGAAGTCAAGCAAGTTTATAGATTGCCTCTAGAGTAATTTAAATGCCCAGGCAGATGAACCTTGAAATGTCTGAATCAATTACTGATGGAGCCCTACATCACATTAACAACAAATTTATAAGTTGCAAGAAAAATTCATGTTGTCATTGGTTAGACTGTCCTACAAATTATTATCAGTCATTTCTGCAGTATTTATTTTCCACATAGGTTGACTCTTTGCACTTACCTGCAAGACTAGATAAACATGAATATCTTTATGTTGATTACCCCAAATAGTGATTATAGCTATGGGTGAGCACCCACATTTCTACAGGAGTTATGGTGTGGGTGCTGCCAACAGAAAGCCTCGCACAATGAAGAACTGCTGTTCAGCCA